CGTAGACAGCAGATACATCAACAAGTGTTTGTCCTCCCAGTTATAGCAGAACTAAAAATTCCTAGAAAAGTCACCTAGACCAGACCCTTCCACTTATATTCTTCATGGCAGACAAGCAACAGATCAAGCAACATCCAGGCATTGTATTACATACCTGAGGAAGCTGAAGTAGACAGGGGCATCATACTAAACAATATTTCCTGTTACAATTCAAGCATTCACAGTGATTAGAGAAGGAATACTGGTGGGTTCCCAAGTTTTAGGCTATCTTTATGGTGTATGCAGTTCACATTTTTTACTCTCATTAAGCACTGTTTAGATCTTGGCCTGTAACATTGTCTAGACATGAAAAAGGCACTCTACTTGCTAATGAAACTGAGAAACTAATTTTGGCATTTAATGTCATATCTATTTTATTTATAATCTCTAAACAGTAATGAGACATCTCCTTTGTAAAATAGGATTAAACAGATCTGTAAACTGCTACATAGAACTCTGATGAATTTGATTTGTGAAGGAAATGAAGGTTTCGCTTTTTCATGACTTAAACAAGAACACTTCCAAGAGGCTCTTAAAGGGGAGAGTGGCAGGCAGCCTCCTCACAAGTGATGACAGCAGCCCCTAAATCAAGTGTCACACAGCTTCAAACCCTAAGGAGTCATCAGTCATGCTTGCAGGAGGGGAAGGAGCAGCCTCCTTCCTTGAGATCAATGAGGCAAACACAGAATACTCCTTCTGCACTCCTAAGGATGATTGATGACTTCTTAGCAGCTGAAGTGTGTGACATTTGATTTCACTCACTGATAAGATTGTGTCTTCCAAACACCTTCTAGTTAATGTTTCCAGGGCCCCCACATAGCTGTTCTTGTGACATTTTTTAACACAAAGCTCAATTGTTCAATGATTAATGAATTTCTCAACAACAGATGAAAATTCTGTAAGAGAATTTTGTAACTGTGTCCCTTGATAGTCTGGTCACAACACAAAACAGGAATCTAGGCTCCTTAAGAAAACGAATGGGAGATCACCTGCCCCTGTCCCTGTCAAATGACACTTGCAGGCAAAACAATCCTAAAAAAGAACTGTCTTTCTTTCCTGAAGACTTTAAAATATACCTTTGAGGTCTGCTTATCAGAAAACCTAGTGCATTGATTGATATTGATTAAAAATATTTTTCAAAATTTTAATAAGCAGATTTCCACAATGTTTCAACAGACTTGAAATGTGCTTTATGGCTTTCTTATTTTTCTTACAGCATCATATTCTTATCTTATTTCCTATTTTGAAATGATGCAATCAGCATGATTTGAAACTGTGCTTTGTAACTACAAGGTACACTTGCTTACAGGTTCTAAAGCATGCCTGCTTTATATTGCATCCTGTTGTATCACAGGCCACACTACATAAACTTTTTTAGTATCACTTAAATCTCACAGCACTATTTATATTAATTTTTGTGGTTTTGCTCGATTTTTTTGCTTTTAAGAGTGATATTGCATTAAATGTTTTACGCAGATGTATTTTTAGCTCTCTTATGAAATGAAGAGCATTTTTTGATCCTGATTTTCTAAGTGCCATGTTTGCTCACGTTTGATCATGTTTGCCATGATTCTGCTCAATGCCTTTGGAAGTTTTAGCACTTTGCACAAAAGTCATGAGGTTTTGATAAATACAAGAACCAGGCAATTCGGAAGTCTGTCAGAAAATTCATTCAAAAGGAGAGAAACTGTACTGGTTGTCAATCCTATCTTACTCTGTAAGTTTGTTTGTCAAAAAGCATACTGGTAAACAGAGGAAGAAAACTTCAGTACAATCCAGAAAAAGATGATGACTGTGGCTCTCTCACCCCTTGAGAATGAATGACTGGAACAGAATGGCAGCACTATCAAAGAAAAACGCTCCACATAACCTTCATCATTTTGCCAAAACCAGCCCACCAGAAGAAATCAAAGAGAAATTCCAAGTGTGGACTTGCCAAATGAATCTTTCATCTAAATTTTGAAACAAAGACATTGCTCTTGCCAAACATTTTTAAGCTTTGCTGAGGCCTCACGTGAAAAATCAAGAGCTCTGACTATTTGGAATTCAAATTCAATGGAAAACTTGGGCTTATTCCCAATTAATGCAAATGAGACACTGCACACTACTTGAATGTCTTTAAATTAAAAATGATCCTGATGTAGAACTGTGCCAAATTAAGTCAGCAATGATGAAATTATAAAAAAAATGGTGTTATGAACTGTCCTGGCACTTAAAGACATGATGACGTCTCCATAACACTTGGAAACCTTGTTATTATGAAAACACTCTTTTTAAATCAACATCTTATTTCCAAAATGTTACACTCTCAAGGAATTTAAAATACTCTCTTTTAAGGGCATACAAAATTAAAAAATATATTCATGTTGAAAAACACACTTTAAAAAAACTATTACCATAATGATAAATTTCTAATGCTGACATACTTTCATGTCATATACAAAAAAAAAAACCAAAAACAAAACCAAACATTTTTGACAAGAATGTTTCATTTATAATATAACCTCATTATATTTACTTGCATTTTTCCTCAGTAAAGAACTGGAACAGCTTTTCTTTCTAAAACTGATACAAAATTACTTTACATTCTCTCTCATGATTCACTATGAGATAAACCAAAATCACACTCAAAGGATGCCCTTAGCAATGCTGTTGTTAAGGACAGCAAAGCTGGCAGGTAAACCTGCGTTGGCAGGGGCTTGTTTTCCAATTGAAAGTCTTCTACCTCAAATACTTGTGCATATTCTATGAATACTCTCCAGGCCAAGGAACACTTTTCAAGTCCCTCCTAAGAGAACCTGTATTTTAAGAGTATATGTAGATTTTTTAAGGGTATGTTTGCTCAACAGTTAGCCACAGTTCCACTGGAAAGAGCTTCTTTATGTGATAACTCAGAACTTCTAAATTCCTTTCCTTATCACATTCATCAGAAAACAAGAAATTAAATTCTTCAAGGAAAATTATGTCCTGAAACAGTCAGACAGGTTTCACTCAGAACTCAATTCATACACAGATATGGGTTTCTGCATCGCTTTTCCCTTCTTTCTTGTTACTCTTCAACACAGTCAACCCCTTAAATTAACTAGAATACATATTTAAACAGCATTTTCATTAGAACAACTGATTAGCTGGAAGTGAGAGATCTTACTGGTGTGTTCTCTGAAAGCACTGAGCACTTGCGCTCAGAAATACCTATTAGACTTCAGATAACCTATAGGGAAGAGGGCATTTATGAATACCCAAACTGGGAGAATTCATGATGGAAGGGCATGGATGGTGGAAGGGAATTCATGATGGGAGGTGCAGGATGGATGGGAAGAAAGGCTTAGTGTCTCATTGCTAAATATGTGTGAGTGCCCAAATTATCTGTGTAACACAAATTCAGAGAAATACAAACATTTCCCAGAAGCAGCTGAGGTGCACAAAAAGAGAAGAAACCAGAGAAGACTCTTGGAAACCTGCCTGATTTCCTGTGAGCACACAGGCCACATGCTTGGCAACCTCACCGGGTTTCCACCTTGGAAACCCAACTTGCATCCCTGTGACTCTCAAGCAGTCTCCCTCTGGGAATGCGGGACTGTTTCTTGAAGACAGTGATTTTCCCAATCTTCACTCATGAGATGACCAGACTGTTTTGAGCTGGAACTCCTTTCTTTGTCCAAAAATTTCAAAAATCAGGGACATTTTTCTGACCCAGAACACATCTTCAACTATCAAAATTTAACATTAAATGGTCCACCCTTCACCACTCACTCCTATTGTTTAGAAAATTTTAATTCTGGCATTCTCTAAATTCTAAATTTGAAACTGATAAAAAGGGTTATATGTTTAGAAAATTTGCAGTTCTGAAGTCTTGCAGATTTCTTAAATGTTTTCATTCTTCTTAGAATAAATGTCTATTTAAAACAAGGCAAAAATGTTAAACTAAGAGTTTAAAATCTTTCCACCTATCCTAGCTAAAAAAAGGATTATAGGTTTTCATTCTCCATTTGGATCCATTAGTAAAGAAGTGCTCCTCTTATTGTTCTCACTTATATTTACTGAAAATGGAATGTCTCAAATGAATTCCATTTTAGAATTGCATTGAGAGCATGCTCTAATTCACACAGATGGGATTTTTTTTTCACTTTTCCTGACCTCTTCTCTCCAACAAGTTTCCTCGCAGTCCTGCAGTTTTCCCAAGCCTTCTCCTTATCCAGTGAAACCAATCTGAAATCCAAGATTTTAATTCAAGCAAATGAAGTGGCACCACACCACTTGTCTATCACACTGTTTACTTCTCCAAAGGACCCCAAATCCTTCAGATTTCAGATTTCCTCCATAATCAACATTCACATTCAAATCCATGACTTTCCTTAAAACGATCAGTCACTACCATTTCCTCCTCAGCTCTATGCAGCATCTGTCTGGCTTATCAGTAAATCTTTTCCTCTAAACTGAGTCTAAATTCAAACACATTCAGACATCTCCCAGTACATTTTGGTTCCTCATCAGAATAGTTGTATGTCTCCCACAAGTCTTTTCAGGTTTTGATATGGCTTAAACCCAGACTATTTGTCCATTATCAGACCAACACCAGGCCATCACCCTAACTCATGGTTTCCCTGGCTCACCTTTTCAAGTTCCCCTACTATTCTTCCCAATACCAAGATATGCCACTGTCTAAAGAGAAGTCTAAATTTCCACCTAAGAGTTTCAATTTTCTTGTCTCCTTTCCTGGCAGGTTTACACTCCTCACTCTGCCATTATGCCACATCTCATCCTTCTGACAGACTGAAGAAACATGCAGATCACAAAAATAAAAGACTCTAAAAAGGAATTGGCCAATTCTAAATTACAAATGAATCCTAAAAATCTCTTTTGCCAGAAACTGCAAGTTATTCTCTAAATTAAATTTTTTTGAAAAGAAAGAAATTAAATTCATGTTCAAATCACAGAATAGACAGCTATTATTTGCTCACCTGAAATATTTGTTTCAAGGAAAAAAGTGCCCGTCTCAGTTCCCGTCCACTGGAATTGTAAAGTTTTTCTGGGAAAACAAAATAAGACAACAGAAAAAACTTCAGCATAAACAAAACTGACAACATAGCAAGAATGCAGTACAGCTTTTGAAAGAATCACAGCACCCATTTCCCATTAGGCAGACTTCTCTTAAAAAAGTTAGCTTTTTAAAAAGTTAGGACTTATTCATTAAATGTGCATGTAAACCAGGATTTAGTTGTTTATAACTTAAGATGGCATCTTTCAGGTAAATTCACAATATCTTCAACAAGATCAGTGAGAAACAATTGTCTCTGGAGTTTTTTAAATGCTTAGAAATATTCTTTCTGTATTAGGTAAATTTAGGGTTTACTGAAAGTACCAGATTAATCTCAAAAGACTTGTCTGAGACCACTCTTTGCCTTTGTTATCAAAGCTAGAGCCACTGAATCCCATCTTTGACTGCCTTCCCTCTAGACATTCTTTTCTCATGTTCTCATCTTTCTATTGTTAAATCCTTTCTCCAATAGCAATGAACGTTAATACCAGAAATAGTCGGACAGTCTGTTCTTAGCATAATTCAAAACAGTGTTTTATTCTCCTGAAAACTGATCTTGACCTTTTTCTAAATGAACCAGAAGCCTTCTTTTCATCATCCAATACTGAAATGTATTACTTCATTTATTCCCCTACTAATGCATTCTCACAGAAATAATTTAAAGACAAAAGCAACTCTGCTGTCCTTCTGAACCCTGCTACAATGTTTGTGCCTTTGGAAGAAGTCTGGGACCGTGCCTCTCAAGTCTGTTGTTGGAAATTTGTGACTGTGCAGGGATAGAGCAGAAGGTGAACTCTTCAAAACTTCCTGGTCTATTACACTTGGTGCATTTGATAGAAAGAGGCTTTTTGCAAAACATCTACAGTCCTAAATTTAATTACACTACTGTAAGCCAAGAGCAATGACAAAGGAAAATCAAATCTTCATGGTCACCTCAGATGACACACTTGCCTCAACCACAAATCATCATGAAAGCATCCTCTCTGCAATCGGCAGAGTAGTGGCCTGTAGTGGCCAGCAGGTCCTGAGATCAAAGCTGGAATGCCCATGGAATGCTAATAATCTTACAGGAAAATTAAATATCCCCAACATTTTATATCTTACTTTCCCTTGTCCATTTCTCTTTCAATTACTACTTTACACTAGAAAACCAAATTAAATTTTATTTCCCTGCCAGGAAGTTGCAAAAGAGAGAGTAGTATTTGAGGATTCAATGCATTTATAACTCAGTGATAATTTTTTACTTCAGTCAAGGAAGGCAGAGTTAATTTTAGAAAAAAAAACCATTTCTTATTCCAACAGTCATCTTCAATCAAAGGAAAAATACCAAAGTGTCAGCAGAACTAACACTATTTTTTTTAAACTTTGAAAGTAGTTTTGTTCATCCCTAATTGCCTCTGATTTCAAAGGCAGAATGTACAGAACTGGCAAAACTCTTGTTTTTATAAGTTGTCTCCTTTCTTGCACTTTTATAGATTCTTGACAAAACATTGGAGGAACGGATTTCACTTCAAGCCATAAACTTAGAGGCACACTTTAATTACTCTCACTTTAAAACGCACTGGCATGTGGGACCACATTTCTTGGCAGGATAAAGAGTAATTTTGTCAGGAAAGCCTAAAGAATAATAAAGATCTTCTAAGACCCGGTCTGTCAACTTTACATGCCACATTACAGAAAATATTTATTTTTGAAAGTTACCTCCATCTGGCATTTGTTATTACTAATTTCCCACTATTCATAATTCACCAGCATCATTATGAGCAGAAAGTCTCCAAACAAGGCAGTGCATTATCATCTTAATTAAGAGAGGCACCAATTTTTAAAGTCCTGGCAACTTTGTACATAAATATCAATGTCCTAACAAATGCCATCTGTTGGTCTTGGTCTTAAACAGAAATCATCATCCCAGCCTGGGGTGAAGTCCTAACAAACCATTGTTATGATACCATAACGCTGGCTGTTTCACTGGTGCGTGAAGATTTTTGGTACATCTCAGAGGAACAATGCTGAACATTTTTTCCCCTTGGTGTTTTCACAGAGCATAACCTCATCCTTGGCAGTCAGCACAAACAATGCTCTCCCCGCTTGTCTGTAGCAAGGAGGACAGAAGTTACTGACTGCAGCTCAAAAAGGGCTCTATCATTAGAGCTAAGAATCAACAACTACTGCAAGTATGAAGTTTGACAACAGTTGTGGCACATGTCACAAATGTTTGAGGTGGGTTGCAAATCCATCTGAGGAGTGACAGTCCAGTTAAATCATCTCACTTCTGACATCTTCTTCCAGAGACAATGTACACTCGCAGGTACCTCCTCACACAGAGCTGATCTTGTTCAATCACCTCAAAGATACAAGTCCACAGCATCTTCACCTGTTGCTCTTACACATGGGTGACACACTCTCTGCCTAAGTCTTGACACCCACTTATAACAGCGTTGGCAGCCACCAGAAACCTTCACTGACCATAACCCAAGGAGGAAAGTGAGGTGGCAATGCTACATCAGAAGATGTTTTGGTTTAGAAAACCTCAGTCCAGGATTAACCTCACTCAGGGCAGGAAAAGCTTGTGTAAGGCAAGGTACTGCACAGATCCTTAAAAAAGCTTGTACTTTTATTCTGTTTTTCGGACTACAGCCGGGGGACGCTTGCTAAGATGTTCTCAAGGCCTTAGAGAATTTCCACTTGCTAACAGTAACTTTAGCACCCCAGGGACCTCAGGCTCATCCTAAAAGCTCTAGATGGCTAGTGAGGCTATAAAAATGCATCAGAAGAAACTGAAAGGCAAAAATCAGTTCCGAGCTCTTTTGCTATGGTAGAAAAACAAAATTAAAAAAAAAAAATGAGAAAGAGAGGAAAAGTCACATGTGCTTACAAAGTTTTCACACTGCAGATGATTCAGAAACTAGACAGCAAATGCTTTTTAATGCTTGTTTGACATAAGCAGTTTAAAGTGTTGCCCTATGAAGCAGACTGAGAAATAACTTTCCATGTTAAAGCACAGAGGTGACTAATTCCCATAGTACCTCCCTGGCAGAGCTGTCTGTAATGGAAAGAAATGATTCCTACAGCCTTGAAATAGGAGCCTAGCCTGCTACTATCACCAAACCCAGAAAATTCTGAGGTGCTCCAAGGACAGTCCAAAAGACTCACAGGTTCACTGCTTTGTTATTAGGTGTCAGATAAGCTTGAATATGTACACCAAGACTGCTTCACACCAGCAAACAAACTTCTGCATTTCAAGCAGGAACATGTGCTGCAACACCTCTCCCTGAAACTTCTCTGGCCACATTTCCTGTCCTTCTCCAGGCCAGGTGTAGGCTGGAGACATTGTATATTCATATACTTCAAGGTAAGATAAAACAGATCAGTGAGCTCGTAGGTCAGGGATTTTGTGATATCTGACACACAGACTTCATCTGCCTATTAATGATGGTGGCTTTGGCAGCCGTGTCCTGATAAGTGACACTATTGCAGCCACTTTTACGACTTTTCTTCAAGAAACAAAGAGCTGCATCCGCAGCTGTGAAATACTTTTAATTGCACATACACAGATGACAGAAAATTCTCCTTGCGGTTCCCTCTGACGTTAACTAACACTAGAGGGCACTGCTTATTTCCTTATTTTATGAAAGAAAAGTCACTCTGCCCCTCCATGGGCTTCCCACTGATAGAGCAAACTTGGGATACAGAGCTGGTACACCAGTAAACTTGAAACCCTGTTTTTAATTTTTTAATCTGTAGACTGTAAGATATCCAAAGAAACTGAAAAGCGTCAGCTCTGCCAATCTCAAACATTCAAAATCAGAGTCAACTCTTTTGAAACTGATAGAAATCCAGGTACTGGTATGGGCCTGAGTTTTATTTACTGCAAGAACTAAGAATCAATCACATTTATTAAATTATCCTTCACATCATATCAGGGAGGTGTATATCCTTGAAAGACAGTCAGATTTCCTTGGCTCAGCACTTATTTCTACAGGCAGAGAATCACAGATAACCAGACTTTTGGTAGAGCCAGACAGGCGTGACAGGTAGCAACCTGCAACTGGCTATTTTGGTTGCTGTTGCAACCTGAAACAGCAGAACTTTGGTTAAGAGAAGCCATTATGCTCTAAAAGAAAAATATTATTTGTTACTCTGTATTTCTTGCTTGTTTTTAGTTTTGTGGAAAATAACTTGGGCTAAGTGAAAAGGGATTCATATAGGTGAATTTGGTACAAATGTAGCAGTGGAGGGAAGGCAGTTTGGTTTGAAATCAACATGTTTTCAGAAAGGAAGAGAAGCCTTTAAAGATGTTTTATCAGACAACTTGCAGCTTTCAAATGGATTCTATATTTTCAAAGATAATTGTCAGAGGTGCAAATTTCTAAATTTCTGTGGTTTTCATCTCTTTTGATTACATGGGAAAAGGGACTTTTTAAAGAAAATAGTAATTTGTCCTTATATTCTTAAATAAAGTACTGCCTTTTCTTGTCTTGTATGAGGAAAAAAGAAAAAAAAAAAGTGTTCTCAATCCACAGTAATAAAAGAAAAAGTGGAACTGGTTGAACATTGCTTGGTTCAGTCCCATGTGTTACACCTGACCTCTGACCGACAGAGTACCATCCTCCTCCCTTCCTCTTCCATCACACCCATTGAATTAGTCCCTGGGATATAGTAATTTATACAGCATCAGCCTTTTGAGCTGTTGGCAAAGGCTTGTGAACATCTGGCTGAGCACAAATGGGAGTTGCTCTGCTTCACTTGCTGCTGCCTGAATGACCTCCATGTCTCCCATCCATGCTTCTTTTCTTTAAACTATAATTTCAAGATGAAGCTCCTTTCCTTACAAAAACATAAAAGGGAGATTAACTCCACATTTGATTACATTAGCAGGATACCCGGTGCAGATCCACTTAAATGACATTTGAAACATTTCCTGCCTTTCATTTTTACCTGGCATTGGACAGAAGTAGCAACATTCTCTGGCTTCCAGTAGCCACTAGCCA